GAATGCAAAAAAAGTTGTTGGCCACCAACAATAGTTTAAAACTGCTAACATTTTTTTTTCCAAAAGGTGGTAGTTTATGATTTTGAGGGAGTTAACTGTATAGAAAACCGGGATTGAAGAGCACAGTTTTCTTTTTGCTATACCTGGCAATACAAATCATTCACTGCAGTATCCCTTCTGCCACTATGTGACTATGATCCCTCACCAAATCATAGCAGCTAACATTAGGCACACATGCTCACTGGCTGGGCAATATGGCAAATTCATCCATCAACTCCAAAGATCTACACAGTTGCTGTCTTGAGAGCTGGAAAGGGATCATTCAAGATTAGCATGATGCAGTACTGGATTAGATGTTTTTACATTATTCTGATGTTCAACAATGTATCAATATAAAAAACCCACTGGAATAATACAGTGGCACAAAAGGGACACTGCAGGGCGTTTTTTTTTTTTTCCTCAAAGGCAGTTGGATGCCTGTGATGTTTAAGCCTATACAAAAGTAACATTTTATCCAAAAAACTATACAACCAGTAACTACATACTCTGAAGAAGCAAGGTGGCTAATTCAGGTCAAAACTGGATAAAAGCAGGGCTTGTTCTGACTCATCATATGAGATTGTTTGCGTGCCCAGTTTGACTGTGGCAGAGCTGCAGCTAAAATGACTATATTACATTAAGTACATCATTTTTGCAGGGCAGCTCTTGTGCATATTTTGTATGAAAACAAGCCCTGCTTTCATCAATATAGTTCCTCTATTTACAGTACAGGCCGGGTAGTTTAGTCCTCTGTACTGAGGTAGTCAACCAACCCTTTAAAGACAAGTTCTGAAAAGAACCACTTTCCTGGAATGCCTGACTTATCCATGCCAGGTGGGTACACCCTAAACCTGCAAATGTTCTTTCAAACATCCAGATCAAACAATTAAGATTAACATGGATATTCTGACAATAAAATTGCTATTAGCACAAAAATATACAATAGTATCAAGCTCATTTGAGCCACTTCAAACTTAAAAGTGCAAATTTTTCAATTTTTTTTTTAAATGGCATATTCAGGGACAAGGAAGGGGTAGATTGTAAGGGCAATACATACAGCCCTGTCTATCAGGGCTGGGTACAAGGGCAAAGAGGCTGTGTTGA